TATTATCATTATTTTTTATATATTCTAAAGACATATACCGCTTTATATATTAGTTTTATATAGTATTTTTGTTTAAAAGTGATGAATTACTCAGGATATAGCGGGAATATAGTTGAAATATGATCTATCCTGACCTGCATATATTAATGTTGCCACATGACAATCTTCCAAGCCTCCAGGTAAACACACATGGGACTCCCAACTTAAGAAAGTTGCATTAAAACCGAATTATTGTCATTTTCCGGATAAACATGACCTTGAAACATCCGATCTATGTTTTTAGATTTTTTATATATGTTAATTCCCCCTAAACTACTGTACTAGGAGAAAAAACAGACCTAAAATAGGAATCTAAAATACTTTAGGTCATTATATATTCTAGTCTCGTATCCCCTGCAGCATTATGCCACCTGGATTCCATAGTGGATATTATTTTCATTATTTTCATTTTTATTCACTATTCTACAAACTACAATGGACTCTTAACTATATATATCTATCTAATTAATTAGTATTCAACTATCTATATATCCAATTACCTGATATAATTAGGTATAACGAGCCATTCTTTTGCGTAATTGGTGATTAATAAGTTTTCTTAAGTTTAGAGACGTTATACATTATTTATCGTCTAATGAATAACACTACAGTACTACGTCAATGTTTCCTATAATAACGATAACGGTAATAATAGTGAAATTCTACGATAAATAACTATATTATTAGTTAAATTCTATGATAAATAACGATATTATTAATTAAATTCTACGACAATGAACGATACTTAAGGGAAAATCTGACAATAGCTTTACATATCAATGGTGATTTAAATAAAGAGTGTAATGGTGATTTTAACATACGCTAAACGTGTACCAATTACCATTTAACAATTACCTATTTGTTTTTATCTTGTTAATATGGTAATAGGGTGTAATTGGGTCTATTAATGGGAGAGATAATTGCTATGGTTGAGTCCAATTTAGGCACGTTATCTCTTCTCTTATTTCCAGGATGATTTAAGTACTTCTATCGCCTCCTGGGAAAAAATTACGATCTCTGATAGTTTTTATTTCCAGGATGATTTAAATACACCTATTCACCTCCTAGGAAAAAAAAATCACGCTGTTAGTTTTTATTTCTAGGATGATTTAAATACTCTACCTTGACTATCCTAGGAAAAATAATATTGAAATGTAAACACAAAACGGCGTCTATATTAAAATTTTAGACAGACGAAAATAAACAGTTACAGACAGACAGACAGACAGACAGATAGACAGACAGATAGACAGAGAGGCTGAGGTCAGAGGAAGGTAAACCACGAAAGCCACAACTACGTCATAGAGCCTCACTTGACTACAGGAATGGTGATAAATGAGCGTCGACTTGCACACACCATTGACGACCTGTTGTGTTTATGTTAGAGAGAGAGAGAGAGAGAGAGAGAGAGAGAGAGATTCAGTCAAATTATATAGCACAATATAGATAGATTCTTCCTCCTCTTCTCGCCTCTCCTGAACTCATTCTAAAAACACCCCCTTTGCCCTCCCACCACCCCTAGCCCCTCCCCACCACCCCTAGCCCCTCCCCACCCTCCCACCCCTCCCTCCATGACTTTACAACAGGTCCAAGGTTCGGATCTTAGCCAAGTAACCTTTGACCTAAATGAAAGAGCTTCCCTCCCCCCTCTCCTCCTCTTCTCTTCCTCCTTCTCTCCTCTTCTCCTCTTCCTCCTTCTCCTCCTCCTCCTCTTCTCCTTCCTCTTCTCCTTCTCTCCTCTTCTCCTTCTCTTCTCCTTCTCTCACTCCTCTCATTCCTTCTCCCACTCTGTAAGGAATCGTGTGTGTGTGTGTGTGTTCTAGGTATGTATATTTTATGTAAGTTTATGTATGTATGTACTGTATGTATGTATGTATGGATGTGTGTATGTAAGTGTGTATACATGTAGCGTGTATATTCGACAAGTGGGCGTCTATGTAAGTGTGTTCATGTGCACCGATGCGTGTGTACGTGTGTGTGTGTGTGTACGCCTTATCATGTGCACCGATGCGTGTGTACGTGTGTGTGTGTGTGTACGCCTTATCATGTGCACCGATGCGTGTATGTAATTAATTTGACCTTCAGAGGGAAAATGGCTGAAGTACGTGAGAGAGAGAGAGAGAGAGAGAGAGAGAGAGAGAGAGGTAAGGATTTAGAGTCCAGGGTTTGGTTAAGGTTAGGTTTTATTGAGTCAGGTGTGAGGTTGGCAGGTGTCCTTGATGCTAATTCTTACGCCCAAACATCCTCTCTCTCTCTCTCTCTCTCTCTCTCTCTCTCTCTCTCTCTCTCTCTCTCTCTCTCTCTCTCTCTCTCTCTCTCTCTCTCTCTCTCTCTAACACTGATTGGTTAAGAATAGAATCATCCTGTCTCTCACATTGTCATTGATTGGTTGAAAATATTCCCTTCTTGATTCTAATTGGTTAGAAAGCCGACCAACTTGATGCTGATTGGCTAAACCTCCCTGAGATTCCAGTTTTGTTTTGTTTTATTATTGTAAGTATATTTTGACATTAATTTAATATAACACAAAAATATTTATTATATAATTACAATAATAATTACTTTGATTATATTACGTAAGTTTATAATTAAAATCTTAATTATTCTTGCCATCGTGAATGTCAAAGAAGTCCTCTGATTGGCTGAGCTGGAGTATAAACGCCAGAAAGAAATCAACTCATCTATACTTCCTTTACTGCATTCGGAACTGCCTAAAAAAAATCCGTTTATGTGTAAAACTCAGTTGAGTGGAAATATTATCACGAATTTCTTTCTTTCTATCTTTTTTCGATCTTAATTCGGTGTTTTTTTCTTTATTTTTTTCATTATCTCTCTCCAGCGTTGCGTCTGAACTTGCCTGAATAAAATGGTGGGTGGGGCGATGTTCGTTTGTTTTGCGGAGAATAATTCAATCATTTATATTCACGCCTTGTGTAGTTACGCTTAATTTAGTCTTTATTTATTTCTATTCATTTTCTTTTGTTTTTTCTTTATTTGTTTTGTGTCGTGTGTGTGTGTGTGTGTGTGTGTGTGTGTGTGTGTGTGTGTGTTTCTGTTGCCGATGTTCGTTTGTTTTCCAGGAATTTGATGTAGTGTTCGATCGTTTATAATTCGATTTGTTTTTTGGTTTTATTATGTTCATATTGTCTATACTTCTACCTCTACTACTACTACTACTATCACCATCTTATTTGGGCTCTATAATCACCTATAACTCGTACTATTAGCGTAAATAAAACAGAATAAAGCAAGACAAAACAGAATTATACGCTTGGTGTTTGTTTTCTCTCTTGGGAAGTAAAAAAAACCCGGGATTTATTGACGAAAAAATATAAAAAACACAAAAATGGAAAGAACAAGTGAGCATCGGCAGTGACCTTGGCTTTGTATTCGTATAGTCTTTGATTCCTTATACTTGTTCCCCCTCTCTGTCTCCCTCACCTCTCACTATACCCCCTTCCCCTCCCTCACCTTCTCTACCCCCTCCCTTATGCCCCTTCCCCTCCCTCACCTTCTCTACCCCTCCTTAAGCCCTTCCCCTCCCCAACCCCCTCTCCCCCCCCCCCCAATGCCTCCCCCCTCCCCACCACCTTTTCCCACCTCATCAAGCAACGTTCGAACGATCCAATGTGACTGTGACTTCAGCTTCAGTATATCTCACATTTATCCAAATTGTGCGTTAAATGTAGTTATAATAATAAAATATACAAACAAATAATAAAACAATAATAAAAAAATCGATTTAATAATAACAATTAACCACACATTAAAGATTAAAACAAAAATATGGAGGAAATTCTCTTCATATACACAAGAACACGACGCCATCTTGAATACATTGTCAACAGGATGGAAATACCTAAAATAAATTCCTTCTTTAATCATTTATCACTTTATCCTTATATTATTTATTTCACATTATTAGAAATTATTAAAACTAGATATTATTTTAGCTATTGTGTTAAGTTTTAGGGGTGAAGTGTGTAAATACCTTAGGCACGTGGTCCTGTTCGTGGTTATTTGCTAAACATACTGTAGGGTAATGTTCTCAGGTGACTAGATTATGTTAAATATAAACTCGTATATATGTCCTTTTGATCTTGGCTCGTGTATCTATCTATCTATCTATCTATCTATCTTTATCATCATTTCATGCAAAAGCCAATAATTTTTAATCTTACCTTAACCTAACCTAACCAAACCTCACCTCGTTTATTCCTACTTGGCGATGTAATTTTTTGGAGGCGAAATTTGACTCAGTTTTGGCTGGAAAATTAAATTATTTGGTAATTAATTTCCCTAATAAAATTGTAATTGTTTTTTTTAGTTATATTTTTAATAATTATTTTAAATTTATATTAATATTTATTATTTTTTGTGAATAATAATTTTACTTAATTGTGTTTTAATGTTTTTAAATTGTATTTTTATTATTTTTAGGCTGAAATATAATTACGATTTTTTTTATATTTAGGATTTTTAATAAAAATTGTTTGTTTACATATATGACATTTATATTCAGGGTCCCTTGAGTTTCCAAATACTTATTTTTAACTAATTATAATCATTAATTATCAAACTAAACGATAATTAATACAAATAATTTATCTTGGGGTGTTAAAAAATAAGTAATAGTTTAGTTAATAGTTAAATAATGGTTAAATTGAGTTAAATAATGTTAAAATAATGTGTGTTAACGTGGTACTGTTCAGTTGCCAAGTGACGAATTTTCTATCCCACTTTTTTGTCAAGTGGGGCTTATGACCTTTTAGCTCGCGCTTCCTACATGTTTACCCGGTGATGTCATTCTTGCCCGGACGACCCCGTTACCCCTCTCTCTCTCTCTCTCTCTCTCTCTCTCTCTCTCTCTCTCTCTCTCTCTCTCTAATAACAACAGAGATACACCAAACAAGTAAACAAACAAACAAACAAACAAACTAACATCATTCTTTTGTTTACAGAAATCGCCGTCGTCAGTGTTGCCAATAACGGATGACTGCGTGAGTGACCTCGTCTTGAAGGTGAGTTGGCATCACTGTCAGTACATCTTAACCTTATTGGACAAAATCTGGACAAAATTGGATGAGGTTTTGTCCAGTTACTAATAGGAGACGATTTTTAGATTGATTATTATTATATTTGTTATTTTTTTGCTATTATTCTTTATATAATATTGATTTTTTATCGTTTTTTTATTTTTTAAGGGGAAAATGGTGTTCGTGGTGATTCCTGTACATTATGATGTTTATGTTATTGTTCGGGGTAGTTTATGTACATTAGACGTTATTAAATTATTGTTCGTGGTAATATGTGTACATTAGATGTTTATATAATTATTCGACTTGATTGGTGGATTTACAGCATAGGATGACGTCAAAGGTGTTCTAGCTCTGTGATTGGTGGAATTACAGCAAATAGGATCAATGGTCGCGATATGACGTCAGGGGTATAGTACTCTATGATTGGTCAGGATGAGTGACGTTAGGTTTCTGGGTTTCTGGGTGACATTAAGTGTCTTACGTCATAGATCTCGGCAAAAGTTTGATGCTGATTGGCCAGGTTTGTAGGTGACGTCATTATTGTCCGAAATTATTGGAACTCTTGATAATTACTACACCAGCATATGTACACAGTAGACCACACGTACACACTAACACACGTACATACTAGCACACGTACACACACACGTACACACGTCCCACATTACGACGTCGCACAAAGACCGGAAGTGTTATAGAAAAAGAAACCTGTGTGTGTGTGTGTGTGTGTGTGTGTGTGTGTGTGTGTGTGTCAATGTAAGCCAATGTGTGTGTGTGTGTGTGTGTGTGTGTGTGTGTGTGTGTGTACAGCCGCCCCACACGCGTCAACAGAACTGGAACACGGGGTTTGGCTAAAAGACTCTCTCTCTCTCTCTCTCTCTCTCTCTTTGTGGTTGTGTTGCGATATGGAAGAGACAGACAGACAGACAGACAGAGAGACAGACAGACAGACAGACAGACAGACAGACAGGCAGACAGACAGACAGGCAGACAAACAGACAGACAGACAGATAGACAAACACACAAACAAACAAAATATAAACAAATACATCAATTAAAAAACAATAATATAATCGTAAAAATGTAAATAAACAACATTTTTGGCGGGAAATTTTCAGAGCGCATTCGACCACCGCGTAAAAAAAATATGTAAATAACAGATGATAAAAAATAATAGATCAGTAAACATGTAAATAAGAGAAAATATAAGGAATAATAATAGTCTTCTTAAACAGTTCGGGAAATCGTAAACAAAACAGGAATTTAATTTTTTTGATGGGAAAAATTGGGGCGGGAATTTTTTTGGCGGGAATTTTTTTGGTGGGAATTTTTTTGGCGGGAATTTTCAGGGTGGGAATTTTTTTGGTGGGAATTTTTTTGGCGGGAATTTTCAGGGCGGGAATTATTTTTTTGGCGGGAATTTTCAGGATGGGGATTCTTTTTTTGGCTCCTATTAAGTAATTTAAATGGCTGACTTGACATTTAAACATACATAAACGGAGATATACATATGTAGGTGTTCATATGTATGTAAATATTTATCTGAAAATACCTACATGTGTACACGTGTAAGTATAGAGGTGAGGAGAGTGTACGTAGGTGGTAGTGATGATTCTCTCTCTCTCTCTCTCTCTCTCTCTCTCTCTCTCGACGTATTTATAATAATAATAATAATAATAAAAATTTGTGTATTTATTATTATTATTATTATTATTATTATTATTATTATTATTATTATTATTATTATTATTATTAATCAGTATAATAACCATACAGACTTAAACAACACAACACTGCTTTAAGAAATTATTTAAATGCCTTCACAAAATCTCTTTAAGTTGGCAACACTGTACTAGGTCAGAGTCCAGTAGTGTGGGCGTGTGTGTGGGCGTGTGTGGGCGTGTGAGGGCGTACAATCTCTAGTTTCACCGCTAACACCTTGCATATGTGATTTTGTGTGTTTGGTTAGGTTATGTTTTAAGTTAGCTTGAATTATGTCAGCAGTGTCTAATTAACCACCTGTATGTATGTATGTATGTATGTATGTATGTATGACTAACGCACACACTACAGTTCTCTTAAATACACATATAACAAAACTCTTCTCCTTTTTGTTATATTTGTATCAAATTGTATCAATAAATCGTTAAGTATCGTCTATGTAAAGCGATAAATGTTTATGTATTGTAATTTATCAACCAATAGTAGCGTTGATGACAAGGAAACGCCCTGCATAACCAATCAGGTGATAGTTTACATAACATCTGGGCAAGGTTATGCCCTCTAGTGGTCATTTGCGACATTACTATGACTCCCAGTTGAATAACCAATCAGGTGATAGTTTGCATGACGTCTAGGCAAGATTATGACCCACAAGCGGTCAACCGGGACATTACAACAACAGGATGACTGGCCAATGAGGTGATAGTTTACATAAGGAGTAGGTTATGCCCTCTGTTGGTCAACTGGGGCACTATTGTGACTACAAGCTGAATACCCAATCAGGTGGCTGTTTAGATGGCGTTTAGGTGAGGTTATGTCCTCTAGTGGTCAACTGGAACACTACTGCAAGATGAATAACCAATCAGGTAACAGTTTACATCAAGACACCAATTTACCAATCACGTGACAGCCTACATGACGCACAGAACGTCTTAAAACCCGATAGAATCCCGATTAAACTCTTAGGACCCGATAGAACCCTTAGAATTTGATCAAACTCTCTTAGAACCCCTTATAAGCCCTTAGAAACCCCTTAAAACACATTAGAACCACTTAGAACCCCTCATCAACCCCCTTAACACCCCCTAGAACCACTTAGAACCCCTTAGAAACTCATTAGAACCCCTAAAACCCCTTAGAACCCCCTTAAAACCCATGAAAACCCCCTTAAAACCCCTTATAATCCCTCACATGACTAGACACGTATAAGTACAAGGTGTGGTGCTTCCCTCTGGCGGTGAAATGCATAACTCATGACATCAACAACACGACCTGCCAATCAGGTTTCATCTTACTTGAGAGTTAGGCGTGGTGGGGGACAGCAGCACCGCGACTAGCCAATGAGATTGCGCCTTATATGACGGTAAGGCGTCACGAAAAACAATAACAAAATGTCCAGCAAATGAGGAAAAAGCTTACAAAAGGTCATGGGAAATAAATGATACCTCGAATTAACCAATGAAATGTCAGCTTACAAAAGGATTTGACTTCGTAAAAAGAATAACCAATTAGAATTCATGTTACAAAACGATGAGTCATGGAAAACACTAAAATAACATTGACCAATGAGAATTCAGCTTACAAAAAAAAAATAGAAAATATAAACCAATAAGAATTTAACTTACAAAGTCGAATATCCATCAAAAGAACAACAAACTGCATCTAACCAATCAGAATTCAGCATATAAGGCGATGAGTCATGGAGAAGACAGTAAAACCACAATTAACCAATCATAATGCAGTTTACAAGAGGGCAAGGCTCGGTGCTGCCCTCTGGGGGTTGAAGTAGGACACTAGCCTTTGTCCCGCCCTCACACTGCTGCCGCCCACATACCCTGCTGCCGCCCACTCACCCTGCTGCCGCCCACACAAGGTCACTGCACGTCGGCCGGTCATTGTAGGTCACCAGGAGGCTATCTTACGGTCAACAGAAATGATTAATTAATGGGTAATGATGATCTTTTGTTTCGATTCAATCATCTATACTTTTCCCATCATATTTGATCTAATACGATTTAAATTTCTTTTGTTTTTTATTTATTTTCCTTATTATCTTTATTTTTATTTTGTATTTTAAATTGAGGTTAATTTAATTTCTGTTTTGTTTTTGTTATTAAATTTCCCTTTAGAGATCCGATGCGATTTTGTTTACACTCAATCTATCACTCGTTATTAGAAGCTTCCCAGATAGATAGATAGATAGATAGATAGATAGAGTACTTTTCTCCTTGGTCCTACACACGATGCCTGGCCTATGACTCAACAAGGTCAGAGGTTAGGTTAGGTTAAGTGATGTACTATTCGGTAAAACCTGTGTCTTCTGCTACTACTACTACTCTACTCTACTACTACTACTACTACTACTACTACTACTACTACTACTTTCAACGTCAGTACACCAACACACCTTCAAACAGCATAAGTGAAAGTACTGTACTATCCCCTGTGGCACGCCTGTACTTTCCTCACACACTGATATCTTTTTTTTACACAATTCCCGTAAGTTTGGCAACGTCGCAAGTATAAGGTTACCTCACAGTGGCTCACGAAGTAGTTGAAATAACAATAGCGCATCGACCTGCCTCCGTTAGGGGTCAGGGAGGGTTTCAAGTGTCCATATTCTTTGTTTTTGCCGCGAAATCTCCCGTTCCAAGAGTCTATAAAGGTGTTGGATCGTGTTATTATCTCCGACTGTCACTTGTTTCATAGTTTGTGGAGTTTATAGGTGATTAAAACAATTACCTTTGATTCTCTCTTGTTTTGGGGGAGTTTATTGGTATTTAAGGGTCTTATTAGTCCCGATTGTCACTTGTTTTATAGTTTTTGAGGTTTATAGGTGATTAAAACTCATATTATCTTTGATTCTCTCTTGTTTTGTGGAGTTTATTGGTATTTAAAGTTCTTATTAATCCCGTTTGTCACTTGTTTTTGTTATTAGATTCTTTAGTTGTAAAGTTTATCGATGTTTTAAAACTTTCTAATTAAGATCGTCTTTTGTTTGACTATAAAAACCTTAATTAAATTGGAACTCATTCTCTGCGATTGACAGTTTATATTTATACGAGTTTAAATGGCATCTGAACACATTTCCTCCGGATACAGTCACTTATAGTTCTTCCCGTGTCATAAACGATACAGTCATTTATACTTTTCCCTCACTTTTCAGATGTAAACAGAAAAAGGCCAAACAATAGAATAACAGGACAAACCCGCCAATCTAGACCCACACCATTATTATTATTATTATTATTATTATTATCATTATTATTATTATTATTATTATTATTATTCCCTTAACCTTGACATTTTCATCTTACGGGTGATTTCTGGCACGCATTGCTGTGTTCCTCTCGACTTCCCGCGCCGCAAATGTTGTTGATAACCTTCGAGGGGGTTCCAGTTTTCCCGCCCTATCTGCTCTTCCTTATAACTGTACATTTTCCTCTTCTAAAAACTTGCTTGGGGAATTTTTGTAGACGTGATGGGGAATTTTTTGTTTACTTTAGGGAAATGTTATAGTGATGTTGGTAATAATAATAATGATGATAATAATAATAAATAATAATGATAGTAATAATACTAATAATAATAATAATACAGGAAGTTTATACGTGACCTCTCTCTCTCTCTCTCTCTCTCTCTCAGGTGAGCGAACACTTTCACCACTGCTTAAGGACATGAACCTATGAACGATACTCACTGACACACACACACACACACACACACGTAGAAAGTGACATTTAGGTGTAATTAATTTGAAAAAAAAAGACGCCATGTTTGAGCAAATTAAATATTGTTGATAGTTCATTAGAAGACTTACATCACGTAGTCAAAATTCACGACAACATGGTGCCGTTCCAATACTTTTTTCCATATTTAGACGAGGTCAATTATTCCGCAACTGAACACATGTCATATATTTTGAACTAATTAAGGAAAAATAAACATTATCTCTTAAAATAAACACAAATTCGGGTATTAGAAAATGTTAATGAAATGATAAGAGTAATTTAAGATGAGTAATGAGGTTCCAATAATGTCAGCTGTCTGCAAGGTCGCGTTTTCCATCAGGTATAGGAAAGTTCTCTTGAAAGTTAGGAGGGCATTTGTTCCTGGTTGTTTTGACGCCGTGGTGGGTCTGGCATTGATCTGTGTGACCTGGTTGACCTATTTGACCTCCGTGACCTGACCATGAAGAGTGTAGGGCGTGGTAATGACTTAGTTTTCTCGCGTCAACAATTCCCTCCTATACTACCCCCTCTCTCCCTCACCTCTCTCCTCCCTCTCCTCCTCACTCCCTCCCTCAGCCCTCACCACCGTTCAATGTCACGACGATAACAAAACAATGAAAAAAAAAACGCTAAAGTTCCCGCCAAAAATCTATTGTTTGTTGTTCCCGCCAAAATAATGCTTCCTGATGCTGACGTAAGATGGCGGTGAAAGTGTTGTTATTACTGAAGAAATATGTGTGTTATGTTCACCGTCTTCGTGGTAAATAGTCTTTTTAACATTATTACCACGGTGGGGGAGGTGGGGGGAAGGGAGTGAGGGGGGGATACGGACATAAACACAAACCTCGGGATGATTTTATACACACACACACTCACACACACACACCTGTATATGTCAACAGATGGTAATTAATTGTTGTGTTTTATTACAGGTGTGAGCAGCAGCAGGAGACGTAGTAGCAGTCGCAGTAGTAGTAGGGGTGGTGTCAGGTGGTTAGTATCAGTGAGTGAGGGCGTGTATAAGGTTGTGGGGTGGTATAGATAAGTGTGATGGTGGGGCGTGTGGGCGTGGAGGGAGGGCGTGTGTGAGCTCCGGCCCATAACCATGCCCTTAATACGGCCCTCTAACGGAGCACCAGAGTCCCGTAACCCCATTAAAGTCGTCCGTACCGAATCCATCAAATCAGAACGTTCCGATAAAAGAGTCTCGTTTAATAAAGATGTGGGAGTGAAACATATCCCCCGTGGAACTAAAACAAAGGCTAATGTGTTGGTAGTTCGCCCTCCTGCCTCGACCAACCGCGACGAGTGGGCTAATTGTTCCGAGGTGTATCGTGAACCCGTGTCTCTCAATTCACATCAGCTAGAACAACAAGCGGAGGATCTGGTGAGGCTCCTAGATCACGTGAATTGCGACGCCCAGCCTCCCAATACGCGTTCCTTGGATAGACCTCCTAAGAAAAACACCAAGAATCTGTCCCATCATACCTATAATAACGTTCTATTTAATAACGTCAGGAATAACAAGAATACCAACGTGACTAAGGGGGATTCTCGAGGTCGACCCAGGACGTTATCAACCTCAAGGACGACTAATCCTATCACTCGAAGGATAAACAAAGGATCACAGCCGAATTTACCCAACGGTGGCCCACTGTCTCATCGGCACAGATCAGCTGACCATTTACCCGATACAGATCTCGACTCGCCTCCCATACCCCGTCGAGCTCACCATCCCACAACCCACAAGTCCACCCCAGATCTTAACACCCTCTACAACAACAACCGCGAGACGTCTAACTACAAGTACCAACAAGTAGACGAAAGCCACCACCCACAACCAGTCCACGGCTACAAGTCAATTGATAATTTATATAATGGTCAACGACAGAATAACCTAACTCTCCCTCCTCCTCACAGCAATACTTACAAATCGGTGGATAATCTGACAGTAACGGATCCACTGCCCCCTACCCGTCTGCAAGGCTTCAAGTCCGTGGGTCATCTGCCTTCTACAGCCTTATCTGACACGGACGATACAGATATGGCGCGACATGAGCCTTATAAACCCAAAGTCGGGAACATCATCAAGAGATTCAACCAAGATGCGGAAGGAACACATCGGCAAACATCTATGGTTGATATGGCCACCGAAATGGACATTGGGCAACGAGGAACGCTAGAACCAGATCGTTATCGTAACCATAATAACAATCAGCCATTTAGTTACACCGGGACAGCGCCTTTGTCTTCTGTGCAGGTGGTAAGGCGGCTCTCTCCTCCGCGGGAACTAAGTCGAACTAGTCCCCCGCGTGATTCCCCTCCTCGTGACCCTCCTGTTTATGCTCAGGTGAACAAACGCGATGGAAGGGGACACACGAACGGCCGGAGAGACATAGAGAGGAACTACCACAACGCACGACAGGAGAGGGAATACTCTGCTAAGATTATTATCACCGATGACGACCACCGGCCTCCTTATGACGACCACTACCGCGATATGACTCCTAAGAATCTTTATCAGGAGGATGACGATGCCTATGAGAGTTACCAGGTCCCAGATGATAACCTTCGGCGCCTCCTACAGGATGATTTAGAAGCCTATAAGGAACATTCTAATAATAACATCAACATGTCTTCTGTCGGGGTTCAGACTGAGGCCTTACCCAAAGTTCCAACTCGTTCACGTAACAAACCCCACAAGAGCCCAGCGCCTTCCCCTACACGACAGATGACCCACCAACAGAAACAAGAGCACAGACAACAGCAACAGACCTTCCGCCAACACGAGCAGAAGCATCAATCCAACTATCGCCAGACGAAGCAGGAATACTATCAGAAGGACCCCAGACCTCAAGGGAACATGAACAACAACCTCACATCTGCGTCGTTAGTTCGTCAGATCAACCACGGCTTCGGCAGGACGGATCGATCACCATCCCCCCCACCTAGAGTCGCCGCCACACGTCAAATACGTCGTAACGTCGTTCCTCTCCTCTCCGATACGTCTGACTCGGAAGCCGAATGCCGACGACGCACAGTAGACCCCCTGGCTAGAATCAGAGACCAGGTAATGCAGAGAGAAAAATTACAAGAAGAGGAAGAAGAACAAGAAGAAGCGAGAATAAGAAGACCCATACCCCAGGAAAGTGGAGTCATGCCCTACAGAACAGAAGAAATGACTCCACTTACTATAGATGAAGTGGATGCCCTCAGTCTAGTGATGGAGGAGACAGGAAGGAAATCACTCGTGGTCTCTAATCAGGCTCAATCCAATACCGTCACTAGGATCTCGAATCATCGTTCCCGTAGGTCTGAGACGGTGACGGAACGAATCCACGGTAAGGATAGCCTCCCCAAGCCCCTGAAACCTGCCAGGGAGAAGAACCATGTATCTAGAGAAGCCACGCCCACACGGAAGGGTAGAGACACCCCCACACGTAAAGACCCGCCCACACGTAGTGACCCGCCCACACGTAGTGACCCGCCCTCACGTAATGAAACGCCCACACGTAATGAAACGCCCACACGTAATGACCCGCCCTCACGTAATGACCCGCCCTCACGTAATGACCCGCCCTCACGTAATAACCCGCCCACACGTAATGAAACGCCCACACGTAATGAAACGCCCACACGTACTGACCCGCCCACACGTAATGACCCGCCCACATTAGAGAAGAAGAAGAAGAATAACATAGAGAAGGAGAAAGTAATAAAAGCCGCTAAACAAAAGGAGGAGAAGGAAAAGAAGAAGAAGAAGAGAATTAAAATCAAATTCTTCTATGACCCGAGACCCCAAGATGTGCCAGACACCGACCCATTGGCTAATTTTACCGAGTAGAGGGACCGGACGAGAGGGACCGAGACAACTGCTGAAGAGAGACCGGAGAAACCGCCGTGAAGAGAGGGCCTCACCGCGAGACAACCGCCGTGAAGAGAGGGCCTCACCGCGAGACAACCGCCGTGAAGAGAGGGCTTCACCGCGAGACAACCGCCGTGAAGAGAGGGCCTCACCGCGAGACAACAGCCGTGAAGATTCTCAGGAACGACGGAAAGACGAAGAGGAATACCGGGACGACTACCACAATGACCGCAACGACCGCACAAGCATCGAGAGGGACGACCACCACCACCACCACCACCACACAAAACGACGTAGCGAGGAACGCGAGATAAGAAACGACTACCAGATGCGTCGAGAACTACCTGATGTTCTCGACGACACGACCCTGAGGAAAGAACGCCGCGTGGCCTCTCGAGAACGACTAGATACGACCCCACGACCTAACAAACGCGGCCAGAAAGATCCCCGTGAGGCTAGAACGACCCGTGAGCGCTCCTACGACTCTTACGACAACAAACGACGTAATTCTAAAGACTCCCGGGATTCTCGTAGTCGTTCCAGGGACGACCGGGTCTCCTACAACGACTCGGCTGAGGAACGACACCACAGCTACGACCACGACGATGAGGACGACGAGAGAGGCTCACCAGATGGTCGTGCGGGTCGTAGCCTGAGTGACAAGTACCGCACGGCCCCTGTGTACGACCCCCCTGATGAAGACGACCAACCAGAGAACGACCACCACCAGCCGCCACCACCACCAGTTGAACAACCACCACCACCTGAGGTACTCTCTCTCTCTCTCTCTCTCTCTCTCTCTCTCTCTTTGTTTATCTATCTATCTATCTGCCTTCTATCTATCTATCTGCCTTCTATCTATCTATCTGCCTTCTATCTATCTATCTATCTATCACCTTGATTTAAATGATCATAAATTAATCATAAAGTTACGATTATTTCAGAGGATTTATTCTGTTTTTTTTTTAATTCCTAACCTAATCTAACCTAATCTAATCCAGCCTCTAATCCAGCCTCTAATCCAGCCTCTAATCCGGCCTCTAATCCACAGGGAGACGAGAAAAAACATAAAACAATGCGACAAAGAAACAAATTCTTCTCAGCGTTGATGAGTGATGGACGTAACAAACAAACAACAACAACAACAACAACAAGCAAGAACAAGTCCACAGCAACGAAGAGCAAGTCCAACGAGGCGATTAAGTCCAACGAGGCGATTAAGTCCAACGAGGCGATTAAGTCCAACGAGGTGATAAAGTCCAAAAAAGGCCAAACTACTTCCCAAATCCCGCCACAGCCACCACAGCCAACTCAACCCGAAAAGGCCAAACTACAGGTGATGCGCGTTTGTTTTTTTGTTGTTGATCGTCATTTGTTTCTAGAATAGTTTAAGCATCTATATTTTTCAGATAGTTTAAGAGTTTATAATTTTTTGATGCGCTTTTTTTTTTTTGGTTGATCGTCATTTGTTTCTAGAATAGGTTAAGCATCTATAGTTTTCAGATAGTTTAAGAGTTTATAATTTTTTGATGCGTTTTTTTTTGGTTGATCGTCATTTGTTTCTAGACTAGTTTAAGCATCTATAGTTTTCAGAAAGTTTAAGAGTTTATATTTTGTTGTTGTTTTGGGAGAAATGTTATTTGTATATTAATTAAACCTCCAATTAACGGATTTTGTGAGTTAGTCCGTTATATAAAACCTCCATTTAGCGGAAACTTGTATTTAACAGACTGTGAGTTTTTAAAACCACAAATTTCAGGTTTATTTGATATTTTCTTCTTTTTTATGCTAATGACAACACAGGTATAATCATAGCTATTACTACTATTTAATCGTTCCTATTATATTCATCTCCCTAGTTAATAGTAATTTGATCTTTGATTCTGTCCTAGTTAAATAGTTTTTCGTATTTTTTCACTTTGGACAAAACTTAAAAAAAAATATTTATTCCATGACAAAGTATTAGTATATTTTTGACATTGACGCAAGAGTTTGACGCAATATTTCCACTCTGACGAAAAATTCCCTTATTTTTGACGTTGACGCAAAAGTTTGACTCAATATTTCCACTCCGACGAAAAATTCCCTTATTTTTTGACGTTGACGCAAAAGTTTGACTCAATATTTCCACTCAGACGAAAAATTCCCTTATTTTTTTACGTTGACGCAAAAGTTTGACTCAATATTTCCACTCAGACGAAAAATTCCCTTATTTTTTGACGTTGACGCAAAAGTTTGACTCGATATTTCCACTCAGACGAAAAATTCCCTTATTTTTTGACGTTGACGCAAAAGTTTGACTCGATATTTCCACTCAGACGAAAAATTTCCTTTATTTTTTGACGTTAACGCAAAAATTTGACGAAAATTTTCATTATTTTTTTACATTGACGCAAAACTTTGACGCAATATTTCCACTGTCTGTCTTTCCCTGTCTCGCATGACGCATGTTCATAAAGTCTAACTGCATGTTGACGCACGCGGTGTCCGTCTGCATGATTCTCTGCCCAGGTTAGGTTAGGTTAGGGTTTGGTTAGGTTAGTTTAGGTTAGGGTTACGTTAGAGTTAGGTTAGGGTAGGGTTAGGTTAGAGTTACGTTAGAGTTAGGTTAGGGAACGTAACTTGGTGTATCTTATAGAATAGTATTGTGTTAGTGGGAATTATTAACTCAGAGACAATCTTATATACCAACACGTCATCAAGGTATCGTAGGTACCAACAGTAGTAGTAGTACCAACAGTAGTAGTAGTACCAACAGTAGTAATAGTACCATCATCGTAGGTACCAACAGTAGTAGTAGTAACAACAGTAGTAATAGTACCAACACGTCATCAAGGTGTAATGGCCTCTGTCTCATCAACAGAAGCATTATATAAATGGGTTAATTACATTTGATTTATATACACTATCATCCCCTGTAACTTCCCACTGGCTATGAGGTGGTAAGGTGCCCACGGGAAGCTGCATCATGTTATCCTGAGTTAAGGCATAAGTACCCGGCTCTCTGGCCACCTGTAGCTTGATATCCTTGACGAGAGGAAGGCGTTCTTTGAGAGCTGCAGTGGATGGTTCCGTCGAGGGAGGACAACGTACCTATTCCATTCTCCCTCGATGGGTCTCTACTCATTGGCCTTGTTACTCAACCCCACAGATTGGATGTATTTAACAGGTCTATTAACATACTCTCCGTCCATAGTTACGGTGATAAGTTACAGTGATAAGTTACAGTGATAAGTTACGGTTGATCTACACTTAGGAACTGTATCCTCAGTAGTTCTTAATTAAATGGATAACAGACAATTGGGTTTCACTATTAAAACTCAATATAATATAAATGTAACTGCCTCATTAACTTAGGTAGAATGAGCAGTTAAATGGGGTAGCTAGACCAGAGGTTATCGTCAGTACCTGGGCGGGGAATCACTGTGGGCGGGGAACATGTGGGTGTGTGACCTTCTGTCTTCCATTAACCACTTGACCACGTCTCTCCCAGGCGGCGCCGAAGAAGAAGACAACGAAGAAGAAGCGGGCGTGGCCGTGGGCGTTGTTGGGTATGCGGGGTGGTGGGCGGGGGGCGGCTAAGGTCCCCCAGGGTGGCGCCCCGGGGTCGTCCTCCCGCGTGGCGTCCTCTCGGGTGTCCTCCAGGGCCTCTTCCCGCGCCTCCTCCCGTAGTTCTCACCGCCCGCGACGACCCAGCGTTCGGGCCTCCAAGATCCGGCGTGATGTGAGTTCTTCCTCGCCTGCTGCCTTACTCACGCCCACGCTGGCTTACTCACGCCCACGCTGGCTTACTCACGCCCACGCCGGCTTACTCACGCCCACGCTGCCTTACTCACGCCCACGCCGGCTTATTCACGCCCACGCTGGCATACTCACGCCCATTCATAACCCACACTACCTTAATCTCTTGCCCCATCACAGATCTCTGACCCGTCACTGACTCACAACACAGCCCAGCACAGCACAACACAGTCTTTTCTCAGTCGTCCACCACCACGTTGTAAACAGTAACACTAAGTAACACTAAGTAACATTATCAGTTGTGGCGGAACACAACAGCTTGGGTTAACAAGAGACCTTCACTTGTCTTTCCATCATAGTTACAATACTGACCACTTGGCTGAGCTGTGTGTCTTAGTTAATACTGTACTGACTTATGGTTTAGTGAACACACCTCTAGTACTGTACAGTTTAGTACACTACAGTACAGTACAGTACAGTACAGTGCAGTAGAGTGGAGTACAGTACAGTACTTTACAGTACAGTTTAGTACAGTACAGTACAGAACTGTACTATACTGTACTGTACTATAATGTAATGTACTATATTGTACTGTACTATAATGTACTGTAATATACAGTACTGTACTGTACAGTACTGCACTGTGCAGTATCGTACCATGCCGTATAGTACAGTAAGGTATAGTACAGTACAGTACAGTGCAGTACAGTAGGGTACAGTACAGTGCAGTACAGTACAGTACCGTACTGTACTGTACTGTACCCTACTGTACTATACCTTACTGTACGGTAGAGTACTGCACTGTACAGTACAGTACTGTACTGTACTGTACTATACCTTACTGTACGGTAGAGTACTGTAATATACAGTACAGTACCGTACTGTACTGTACTGTACTGTACCCTACTGTACTATACCTTACTGTACGGTAGAGTACTGCACAGTATAGTACTGTACTGTACTGCACTATACCTTACTGTACGGTAGAGTACTGTAATATACAGTATAGTACAGTACTGTACTGTACTGTACTGTACCCTACTGTACTATACCTTACTGTACGGTAGAGTACTGCACTGCACAGTACAGTACCGTACTGTGCTGTACTGTACCCTACTGTACTATACCTTACTGTACGGTAGAGTACTGCACTGTATAGTACTGTACTGTACTGTACTGCACTATACCTTACTGTACGGTAGAGTACTGTACTGTACTGTACTGTTCTGTACTGTACTGCACTATACCTTACTGTACATATAACACAGCAGTAGTGGGTCAGGTTATAACAGTGTTGTATGTTACAGGGTCAACAGGCAGCGTGGCTCAACACTCGAGAGGGAGATGATGGCTCACCCCCCCGACAGTGGGAGACGTCCACACTCAACCGGGCAGAACTCCGGGCCCGTAAGGACGCCCCACACACCGAGAGTCGCGGGTACTCCACCGTCCAGCGCCCCTCGGCCCGTAAGTACTCGGCAGAGTCGACGGCGTCTTCAGGAGCGCCGCCCCCCCAGGTGACCCGCACCACCAGCTTCAAGCACCGCTACTTCGGGGACACGGACGTCGAGAGTAACCACGGCGGGGTGAGTGCGGTCGGCGATTACCGCAGTCTGCCCAACCGTGCCTCCAGGTCCGCCCACAAGGGTGCAGGGCGGGGCCGTAGGACTACCAGCGGCCCCCGGGGCACGTCTCCCCCGGTGGCAGGATCAGCGGGCAGTTCTCTACAGAGCAGTGAGAGTGAGGTGGACAGTCACGGCGGGTCACACGCCTCCAAGGCCTCCCACGTGTCCACGGGCTCCAACAGGTCCGTGTACCTCCACGCTACCGCCGTGGCTGACATCCCCGTCCGCCGCGGGCCAGAGGAGGCGCCCAGCGAGCGCAGCGTCAGCCGTCAGACCAAGAAGGTGTCCCGCTCCTTCTCCCTGCTGGCGCCCTGGAAGCCTCGTCACTACAGGGAGAAGTTTGAGGTGGAGTATGACAACAAGGAGGCGAGGGGAGCGCTGCCCCCCAGACCGCCGCGACGACCTCCTGCTGACCCCAACGACAAGAAGGTCAACCGTTCCCAGAGTGTGTACAAGGACTCCCGCCTCGCCACCTGGCTCAGACGACGACGGAACAAGGAGGCCAAGGGCATCTGAGTCACCACAGCCGGACCACAGCCGGACCGCGTCTTAAGGTCTTACTTTGACTGGTGGTAACAAACAGCCGGCTGTCAGTGTTAGTACCCAGACCAGTGTTGTCAAGACCAGTGTTGTCAAGACCAGTGTTGTCAAGACCAGTGTTGTCAAGACCAGTGTTGTCAAGAGCAATGTTGTCAAGACCAGTGTTGTCAAGACCAGTGTTGTCAAGAGCAGTGTTGTCAAGACCAGTGTTGTCAAGACCAGTGTTGTCAAGACCAGTGTTGTCAAGAGCAATGTTGTCAAGACCAGTGTTGTCAAGACCAGTGTTGTATCGTATCAAAGTCGGGCGATCAGAGCTATAGTCGTACTCAAGCTTATGGAGGTAGAAAGCTTAATATAAGATAATCTGGGAGGGTTATAAGCTGTGAGTTGGACCCCAGGGTAACCCCAGTCAACCTTCATATACATATAGAGAAGCACACGACCCTTAACCCCTCCCCACCCCTCCCCGCCCCACCCCACCCTAAACAGTCTCTCTCTATATACAGTAATTAACCTAAATCACCTATTAATTAAGACGTGTAATCAATACCGCTTCTTTAATTAACACAATCAGCCGCTGTCTGTCTGTATATATGTCTATAACCTAAACCTAACCTAAACCTAACCTAAACCTAACCTAAACCTAACCTAGTCCTGTCTTGTAATAGTCTTAATTACATCTCAGGACCAATTAAGGTATGAATTGGTGTGACGTCATCAGTATTTCTATAAAAACAAAAAAGTCATCATGTAGAAAGATAATAATAAATTTGATCCTTATTCACCCTCGTCATAAGACTCAGAATTACTGGTTTGGTCATATCTTTTGAGAGAGGTCAAATGATGGAACAGATTTGTGCATTAAGTTCTCTTATGTGGGGTTAGGTTAGGTTCAGGGAGGGACTGGAGGGATAGGAAGGGAGGGACGGAGGGGTAGGAAGGGAGGGACGGAGGGGTAGGAAGGGAGGGACGGAGGGGTAGGAAGGGAGGGACGGAGGGGTAGGAAGGGAGGGACGGAGGGGTAGGAAGGGAGAGGATGGAGGAGGTGGGAAGGGAGGGACGGAGGTAGGAAGGGAGGGATGGAGGGTAGGAAGGGAGGGAAGGGATGGAGGGGTAGGAAGGGAGGGACGGAGGGGTAGGAAGGGAGGGATGGAGGGGTAGGAAGGAAGGAAGGGAGAAAATAGACAGGGAGAGAGACAGGGAGAGAAGGAACAGGGAGCAAAAGGGACTTAATGCGCGGGTCTTTTAAAGCCATTTGGACCCAAGATAGCAAAACCGGTTCCCACACTTGAGGAATGACAGGAATTTGCTGGTTTGGAATGTAACCGGTTCAGTCACCAGTGTGTGTGTATGTGTATGTGTGTGTGTTAAGGCTGAATGATATGTATGTATGTATGTGTGTGTATGTGAACCTGTAGTCATGTAGAGATCTAACATGTGCGTGTATGTGTACCTGTAGTCTTGTAGAGATCTAACATGTGCGTGTATGTGTACTTGCTGCCATGTAGGGATTAAAAAACACAGTCACAAAAAATAGCTTCAGTTACGTCAATAAATTTATATAAAAAAAGTAAATATAATCAAAAAATATATATTGAGTGAAATTATGGTGTTTATATATTATGTTTATTATATACATTAATTTAACCTTAGATGTTTATTTAAGGCAGCGGTGTGACGTAGTGATTGGTCAAGAGGTCAAAGAATGTTTTGGAATAATATGGTCTATTTTAATATTTTTGTCGAGAATAAATAGAAAATAATACTTATTTTCTATTTCTGTGAGTTAAAATATTAAAAATAATAAATACTAATAAGGAATTTTGTTTAAAGGAAAATAACAAAAGGGGGGGTCAAGGGGGGGGTTAGGTAAATAGTATTGACCCCGCTGCCTTAGATGACCTCACGCCGCATCTGCTATATACAGTATATATATATAAGTGGCCGGATAATGTATAGTAAATATCTTGCAAATGCTCTTCCATATTATTGTGATTTTATTTTTATCATTTTTATTTCTTTCTGTAACACACTAAGTCTTTAAGTGTTAACTCTCAATGCCAAAAGCAAAAATACATTGTAAATAGTCGTAATAAAATATCTTAACTATTTTTTTGTTTTTATTATTTGAAGTTAATGGTGATTTGACCTATTTCCTCGTGGAATTGATATTGGATGAAATGACACTATGGGTGATTTTAGCCCCGTTTTATCATCCACTCTAAGTACTGTCCGTGTTTTCACCCCGTACGTGTCTAAAGCTCCCTGATTGAGGTTAAGTCAAGTGATCTACAGCTCTTCTTATGGAATATTTACTTGAATCATATTACAAATGTTATCCCTCAACACCATAATTACACACATGACTAAATGCTCACCTTTTTCTGTACAAGTTGTTAGTCAGTGGGTTATAACAGCCTGGGGTAGTCTGTGGCAGGTTGTAACAGCCTGGGGTAGTCTGTGGCAGGTTATATCAGCCTGGGGTAGTCTAAGGCAGGTTATATCAGCCTGGGGTAGTCTATGGCAGGTTATATCAGCCTGGGGTAGTCTGTGGCAGGTTATAACAGCCTGGGGTAGTCTGTGGCAGGTTATATCAGCCTGGGGTAGTAGTCCTAAGGCCGGAGTTATATCAGCCTGGGGTAGTCTATGGCAGGTTATATCAGCCTGGGGTAGTCTCAGCAGCAGGTTATAACAGCTAGGGTGATCTGTGGCAGGTTATATCAGCTGGGGTAGTCTGTGGCAGGTTATATCAGCCTGGGGGTATTGATCTCAATGGCAGGTTATATCGGCCTGGGGAATCGGTAGTCTCAGCCAGCGAGTTATAACAGCCTGGGGAGACGTCTGTGGCAGGTTATATCGGCCTGGGGTAGTCTAAGGCAAAGTTACTTATCAGCCTGGGGTAGTCTATGGCGGGTTATATCAATATGGGGTAGTCTGTGGCAGGTGCAACAGCCTGGTGGCGTCTGTGGCAGGTTATATCAGCCTGGGGTGGTCTGTGGCAGGTTATATCAGCCTGGGGTAGTCTGTGGCAGGTTATAGCAGGTTATAGAGCCTGGGGTAGTCTGTGGCAGGTTATATTAGCTGGGGTAGTTTGTGGCAGGTTATATCAGCCTGGGGTAGTCTGTGGCAGGTTATATCAGCCTGGGGTAGTCTGTGGCAGGTTATATCAGCCTGGGGTAGTCTGTGGCAGGTTATATCAGTCTGGGGTAGTTTGTGGTAGGTTATATGAGCCTGGGGTAGTCTGTGGCAGGTTATATCAGCCTGGGGTAGTCTGTGGCAGGTTATATCACTGTGGGGTAGTCTGTGGCAGGTTATATCAGCCTGGGGTAGTCTGTGGCAGGTTATATCAGCCTGGGGTAGTCTGTGGCAGGTTATATCAGCCTGGGGTAGTCTGTGGTAGGTTATATCAGCCTGGGGTAGTCTGTGGCAGGTTAAATACGAATCAATTAGGTTAAGTTAAGATTATGGCGTTCAATAGTCAGTTAATATGTACAGAAGAGATGAGGTATGGCTAATGTTCACTACACTAATCAATGGACTTTTTCTAAACCATTTATCATCAGGTTTTAATAAAAATAATGAAAAATAAAGAAGAATTTAAATATTAATGGATTCATATGTATAATGAGATATGTATATAGTAATTGGTGGTAATAAATATGAATTAATTAATAATTCATAGCAACTTTAAGATGAGACTACACCAGTTAGGTATTTGACCATAAATACGAGAGAAACATCTAAATATTCTTAAAAATAAATAAATAATTGGAATAAATTTTTGATATAATTTTTTATATATAATTCACTTGAGACTTTTACATATATATAAGCTCAGGTGAATAAAAATAATTTAGAAAGGTTAATAATCATTGTTAAAAAAAATAAGGTCTCTGATTTGATGTTCCAATAATTTTTTATTTTATTTTACGAGAGTTGCTATTGGTGGATATTTTCCCGGGTTAATGACGTCACGACTCTGGATCAAATCTCATGAAGTAAGTTTCGAAAACACGACCCAAACAGTTCGGAATTTCAACTCAACATTAAACAACAATAAATAAACTTAAACGAATACTATTAAATAAAACACATATCATACAACATACATAAACATAAATACGATGTTTTAATGAGAAAATAAACATTGTAGATGTTTTAAATACGACGGATTTATAATAAGAATATCAAGACTTGGAAACTTTACCGAAGCAGTATCAACATTGTCTCGAACACGACCCAGAGGCCTAATGTTGTCAGACTAACCCGGCCGATACATTTACTGCCGGGCGGAGTACAGAAGCAGACGGACTCTCCTAAAACTCCTTCAGAATCCGTACTCTAGGACTCTCTAAGGACATCCTGTGGGCATCGAAGGACGTGTAGGACTCTGCCGAAGCCTTGTGTAGGATAAAATGGCTCTCTACTACGCGTCGAAGTCCAACAGGAGAGGTAAGGAGGCGTGAGGGATTCCGTGTTTGTGGGAGGGTTACTTTCAAGTCTGTGGCGCTGAGCAATGGTGGAATTTCCTGAACTGATTAGGGATTGGGTGTCTAGTTTCAAGAATGAGTTAACGTATATTAGTTCAAGGGATTGGTAACGATTGGAATGCCATAGATTGGTTTAAAGTTTAGTTCTAGCCATTGGTTTATTTTCACGTACTGATTGGATGAAGGGAAGATATCTTGACTTTATTTACCTTCACAGACGCGGAGGATCGAGAGGAATCGGAGTCGACAGATGGAACTAATGAATCCGAACCCATTGGATCACCTGTCGAGAATGACGGAGTTTCGACAGGAGGAAGAAATACTGGTGTAGATTCGACGTATGAAACAGGGAGTCGACACACTACTGAAAGTTCTGTGGGTGGTCTAAAGTCGTCTTCTGGTGCTGAAGGAGTCGTAAATGAATCGTCTTCAGGTGGGTTCGACTCTGGTGGTGTCTCGGGATTCGTAAACAGATCCGAAAGTCTACCCATTGCTGAAAGTCGATCGTTTGAGGGTTCATTTGAGAGAACCGGGTTACATGAAGCTTCGACGAGCAGTAGATCACTTAAAGCTTCGTCAGGTGGGTCGGTTGAAGCTTCAATGGGTAAAACTTACTTGGGGAAGCGTATTAAGCCGTTGGACAGTTTAGCAAGAAGGGAAACAATGGTGGAATCAACGGTAGTAAGGAGGGCAAGGAAGCGAAAACGGAGGGTAGCAACACGAGCGGCAACGGTAGGCGCCACTGGGTCAAGATCACAACAGATGTCAACAGAAATCCCAACGGTAGGCGCCACTGGGTCAAGATCACAACAGATGTCAACAGAAATCCAAACGGTAGGCGCCACTGGGTCAAGATCACAACAGATGTCAACAGAAATCCCAACGGTAGGCGCCACTGGGTCAAGATCACAACAGATGTCAACAGAAATCCAAACGGAAGGCGCCACTGGGTCAAGATCACAACAGATGTCAAATCAACGGTAGGCGCCACTCAAGACATGAGCAACAGAAATCCCAACGGTAGGCGCCACTGGGTCAAGATCACAACAGATGTCAACAGAAATCCAAACGGAAGGCGCCACTGGGTCAAGATCACAACAGATGTCAACAGAAATCCCAACGGAAGGTTCCACTGGGTCAAGATCACAACAGATGTCAACAGAAATCCAAACGGTAGGCGCCACTGGGTCAAGATCTCAACAGATGTCAACAGAAATCCAAACGGTAGGCGCCACTGGGTCAAGATCTCAACAGATGTCAACAGAAATCCCAACGGTAGGCGCAGCAGAGGGAAGAGCTTGCATTGACGGGGCTATTGGCGGCATCAACGCTGTCACCACTACTACCCAACTAGTCTCAAACGTAAGTATTAATCTGTCTATTAAATATTCTTCATAACTAGATATTTAAAAAGTTCAAATCGAAATAAAACTTATCTTAAATCAGCTTAAAGTTCGTGTCATATAGCTAGTTGTCTATTTAAGCTGTGTAGTTCTGATTAGATCCAGCTTGATACCTTAAGTTTCTCAATAGATTTATCAAGTTTAAATGGTAGTTAGTTTCTGCATTGCAAGTCATTCTTTAAGCTTTTAGGTTTAGATATAAGCTTCATATATTCAGCCTAGATTGATTATTCTCACCGTCTCCTTATTCTCACCGTCTCCTTATTCTCACCGTCTCCTTATTCTCACCGTTCCTCTCAAGTCTACTGCCAGGACTCAACTCAGACGTGACTCACAAGGCCTCTATGCAATTATGGTGAGTTTTATTTACATTCGTGACGTCATTTTGGCGCGCATGGTGTTGATTGGTTGTCATATGTGCTGTGATTGGTTAGTTCTTTTGGCAATGGTGTAATTTTAGCGAATATAGTAGTTTTTTTTTAATTATTTCTTTCTGTAAATATTTTTATTACTTCCAGGGTGAGTTAGAGGAAGAGAGGATGTTGATGTTGAGTCAGAGGAGAGAGATAACTGAAGAGACGCGACGAGACTGGGAGAGATTACAGATAAACAGAGATACTGTTTTTCGCGCTTTATTTTGTGAGGTTAGTTTAGGTCCTTATCCCCTTAAAAGTTTCCCTAGTCTGGGGGAATTTGTTTTGAGTCTAAATTCTACATTCTTAAGACTTTTTGTTGATATGGCTAATGGCTGCATCTCTTTTTAGGACACCACGAGTACAGTAGCGGAGCAAATTAACCAGTTAAAACACCTGGTGAACTGGATACAGAGAATCCTAGTCTGTAAAACTCCTGTAGTTGAGAAGTTCAGGCAGTCACTAGAGGAAGTATTGAATAGATGCCCCTCCATGATGGCACACCTGACTGTAGAAGCCCCTCATGAGGACCTGGAACACCTTTCTCTGCGTACACATCGGTTACTTAACTTGAAGGCTGACAGAGGTGAAGCTTCGTCATCTCTTGCTGGTTGTGATGACTGGCTGGACAGGTCACGTATTGATGCATTTTTCAGGCAGGAGTATTTAGAAAGACCTCAGTCATCGGCCCGACCTGTCTCGCTGGCCCGACCTGTCTCGCCGGCCCGACCTCTGTCATCACCCCGACCTGTCTCGCCGGCTCGACCTGTCTCGCTGGCCCGACCTCTGTCATCACCCCGACCTGTCTCGCCGGCCCGACCTCTGTCATCACCCCGACCTGTCTCGCTGGCCCGACCTCTGTCATCACCCCGACCTGTCTCGCCGGCCCGACCTGTCTCTGTCTGCCGGGCCGACCTCTGTCATCCCCACCTGTCTCGCTGGCCCGACCTCTGTCATCGACCTGGCTGGCCGACCTCTGTCATCACCCCTGACCTGTCTCTGCCGGCCGGCCGGCCCGACCTCTGTCATCACTGACCTGGCCGGCCCGACCTCTCGCTGGCCCGACCTCTGTCATCACCGACCCGTCACCTCTCTCGCTGGCCCGACCTCTGTCATCACCCCGACCTCTCTGCTGGCTGACCTCTGTCATCACCCCGACCCGGTCGGCCGGCCTCGACTGGCTCTGTCATCACCCCGACCTGTGTCTGTGTCGACCTGTGTCCTGACGACCTGTCTCTGTGTCATCACGACCTGTCTCGCCGCCCGACCTGTCTCGCCGGCCCGACCTGTCTCGCTGGCTCGACCTCTGTCATCACCCCGACCTCGCGCCCGACCCGTGTCACCAGCCCGACCCGTGTCACCAGCCCGACCCGTGTCACCAGCCCGACCTCAGGGTGTTAAAAGACCTCTCCCTGCTCCAGAGGTTCACCCACCAACAGGTCGACTTGTGATGAACTGGATGGAGGTACTTAACACTAACGGCCAGAACCTTAGTCCACGAGAGGCACTTAATGAAGTGCCTTGGGGGTGTGGAGGAGAGAGGAGAAGAGCCAGAGTTCGGGAGGACCGACTGAGATCGAGGAGCCATGGAGGTGCCCATAATGGCTCGCCTGTTCCCCTCAGACCAGGTGAGCAGCGGCGGCAGCAGCCGGGGCCAGGTGAGCAGCGGCGGCAGCAGCCGGGGCCAGGTGAGCAGCGGCGGCAGCAGCCGGGGCCAGGTGAGCAGCGGCGGCAGCAGCCGGGGCCAGGTGAGCAGCGGCGGCAGCAGCCGGGGCCAGGTGAGCAGCGGCGGCAGCAGCCGGGGCCAGGTGAGCAGCAGCGGCAGCAGCCGGGGCCAGGTGAGCAGCAACAGCAGCCGGGGCCAGGTGAGCAGCAGCAGCAGCAGCAGCAGCAGCCGGGGCCAGGTGAGCAGCAGCAGCAGCCGGAACAGAGGCTGCAGCGACTGCAGGATCGTGTACACTCGATGGTACACCAGTTGGAGCAGCACCAACACCCCATGGTACAGATCATTCAACAACACCAAGTGCTGCAGTACCGTGAGGCCCAGGGTCGGCGGGTGAGTGACGAGACCCAAGAGAGACCAGTCCGGGGCCACACAGACTTGGCCACCAACTACCCGCTGTTCCGTGAGTTCCTGGAGACCCTCATGAGTGGCCCTGATGATGGCCCACCAACCCAGCGTGGAGCACAAGGTAACCAGCCGGCCAGGAGGGGAGCCGGGTCACCACAGCCGGCCAGGAGGGGAGTCGGGTCACCACAGCCGGCCAGGAGAAGAGTCGGGTCACCACAGCCGGCCAGGGTGAGGGCCGTATCGCCATTAGTCCACCACATGGCCAGGATGTGGGCCGGACCTTCCAATAACAACCCAAGACTACATCACCCACAAGAACACCTTACAAGAGACGCGGGCCATGTGGTACAACCTCCACCAGCTGACCCAAGGATCTCTGAACCTTCGTCAGTTGGGTTACAAGACGTGTCCCTAGCTCCTCTACCGGAGCTGCCTAGCCTTCCCGTACCAGAGCTGCCTCAATCCATGCTCCGGGATGCCATGAGGGAGAGACTGGAACCTCGACCCTCTAGAGTTCGCGCGTACTCCGAGAACTCCACGATCCGTCGAGTCGAGGACCACCTGCCTGGCTGCCCTCTAGTAAACCATATTGATGACCCCGCAGGAGGCGACGCAGAAGGTGACTTGATATTTCAATTCTCGGATGAACAGGAGTTGGGAATTGGTCGACGCCCTTCAAGGTTGACCTCTGAGGACTTCCCTTCCTCCATCAGTAGTAGAGACGATGATTACGAGGACTATCGTCTCCCCAGGACTTTTCAAGTTCGTCGCACTAAGAAAAAAACCCAAACTACTGCCAGTTCTTGTGACAGAGACGATGACCTAAATGACGACGACCTTACCGACGACGATGAGGGAGCTACAGCAGTAACAACCCCTCCTAGTAATGGCGAGGACGATGACTCTGACTTCTTCAGGGTAGGTGGCATGAGTGGTGACGAGGAGAAAGATAAATGAACACCTTTACTTGGATGATCACCTACTGACGAAGCCACGGTATCACATTTTAACTAAGAAATATACTGAAGGTGAACTACAATAACTGAGAATTATTGACAGGTGGTGAGAAATACCATACAGATTAGAGAAAGACATTACTTGAGGAATAAATACTTCTCTATCAATACTCAAATGAGCTTTTAAAAACTCCAGTTAGTATAATAAAAAACTTTAGTAACTTTGTTTAGTGAAAATATTATACTTTATACTTTGAGTAATGGTTTTAGAAATTAGTTTAAAGGTATATACTTGTATGTAATTCCGGTTTATGTTTAGATATTTTAAAGAATTTCAATTTATCAAACTTTTTAGGGAGTTATCTTATTTTTTAAAGTTTGTATTAAATTTTAAATCATTACAATACTTTTAAACTTTAATTATTTTTACCTTTTCTCTGTTATGTATTGTACACTTGATATACTTTGTAAAATAAATTTATGCTTTACAAAATAGTAGTCGTTTAATGTAACCAAAACGGGGGAACTGATCATCGGCCATGGCAACGTAATTGAATTTATCTTTGAAATTAAATAAAAGGTCTTGATTTCTTAATAAATAATGAAAATAAGTCTTTTGTCAGCTTACTTTTGTTTTGAGTTGCCACGGAAGCTGTCTGTGTGTCTGTTGCCGAGGTCTAGTGGGAAGGAGACTCAAAAGGCTTCACTCAAGTGTTTGTGGTCGATCCCCTCCACTCTCCCTGAAGCCTTACAAACACACACACACACACACACACACACACGCACACGCACACACACACACATAAAACACGCACATAAACACACAAACCACACACCAGACCTAATAATTTTTCTAATATAACATAATATTAACCCCTTTACATCACATATGGATGTTAATATCAATAAAATGTTAATTAATAAAACCTGAAAACAACAAAAAATAAATTAGTTTGATCGACACTGAAAATTTACTGGAGTTTCCCCTAAAAACCAACATTTATTCCCTAGCTTGAGATAATTTCACTGCCATATTTTAAACCCATATATTAACTTAATCTTATTTTAAATTTACTTTATTTTTAGTTAATAAGTTTGAATATAAATGACGGAATATTGACTTAGAAGTATAATAAAGACCGGCATTAATTATGATGGGTATAAAACTCTATATTTACTGTTGGCTAGTACCGGCTCTGTTGGCTAGTACCGGCGCTCTGTTGGCTAGTACCGGCTCTGTTGGGTAGTACCGGCTCTGTTGGCTAGTACCGGCTCTGTTGGCTAGTACCGGCTCTCTACAGCCCTCACTCGATGCCGTCACAAACAATTCTTACTTAAAGATGATTCCCCTTGTTTTTTGTACTTGTGACTTATTTAACCTTGACCTCTGACCTCTAATGACCTCTGAGATGTTAATAAATTACAATTAAATGGTTTATTACCTGTCTACGGCGTGAATTAGGTGGATGTAGGAGTTCTTAACTAGGGAGCCATTTTGAATCAACTGAGTATCTAGTCCAAATATTTAATCAACGTTACATAATTAAAAAAACTAATTAATTAAACCTATTTAAAATTAATAATATGTAATTATTTAAAGAAACTTATGTAATGTGATAGAATAAATTAGATTTCTTTTTTGAAGATGTTGGTTTGGAATTCGAGTCATATTGTAGGAATGGCTAATTAATCTTCTTGGCTTTATATATATAATATTAAATTTAGGCAATGAAATATAATAAATAATATTAATTAAATATTGAAGGTAATTATGAAGGTAAATAAGTCCTGAAAACAGTAATAAACAACTAAATAAAAACTATTATTAGTACTTAAAAAAATTACTTTGAAATGGGGTAAAATAAATAAATAATGGTTAGTTTTCCACCCAACTGTAAAGTTATTAAATTTATATTAAAGAGTTTAGAATCAATAAAATGATATATAATAGATAAATAAGAGTTATAATATCAGAAATTGGCTATAATATAAGGGTAATATAATAAACATATTCCTATATTTCAAAAGTAGATTTCTCCCTAGAATGGATATTTTTCCCTGACATTTGTGTTGTAGGGTCGGACCAGACAAGATATCTAATGTTAAATAAAATCCTCTTGAACGTTTACCCTAAAAAATTATAATTCTCCAGATAAATAAACAATTATAATATAATTAACTATAATATAAAAATTAAATATAATTACTAAGTAATATTTTCATATTAGATTATGTTTATATGTGTAATTTGATAAATAGTAAATTACTCCCCAGATGAGAAAACTTTATCAATATCATCCAATATAATACAAAAATATCAAATATTTATTAATTTAAATTATAGTTAATTATATTAATTTAAATCAGGTATGTAGAGTGAATTAGATGGATTGGATAAACGAATATGGATTAGGTCCGTTGAGATGGTCGTGGTAAAAAGACTGACATTATCTTCCGCCTCTGAGCTGTAGATGGCAGCAGCATCGCCCAGGTGACCATTAAGACCAAGTATACAAAACAAATATAGTGTTTTCTCCTCGCCAGAGCTCCACACAGAGTTCCTACGCCGATGGAGAACACTCAGAGAACGTGCCCGGGCTATTGAACGTAGCAACAACGGCCACAGATGAACGAGATAAGAGAAAACACGATGGTAAGAGGAAACACTTGGGACTACTGAAAGGATTTTGCCAAGGTTGGTGATAAATGATCTTTATTTCTTACCCATTTTCAAAGACTCTAATTAATCTAACCATAATTATCCCTTTAATTAACTAATTACTGGTGTTTTTTCTCTCTGGTTAACTACCCAAAGTGACAATTCAACCCCAGGAGGAGGTATAATTAACATAATTACCCAGAACAGGTAATCACCCCTCGTATAGTTTATCAATATCCATCTAATTAAATAACCCAACTAATTACCTCTTAATTACCTGTTTATTATTGTTTTCAGGTCTTAGTTAACTCACATAATTATCTCCAATATGTAATTAACTCATGAGTCTATTAGGTATATAATTACCTTTTAATTACTGATATGCGAGTATAATTAAATGTTATATTGTCTTATTAATTTAACTTTATTTAACCCCTTGAGTATGATGATTTAACCCCTTGAGTATGATGATTTAACCCCTTGAGTATGATGATTTAACCCCTTGAGTATGATGATTTAACCCCTTGAGTATGATGATTTAACCCTTGAGTATGATGATTTAACCCCTTGAGTATGATGATTTAACCCCTTGAGTATGATGATTTAACCCCTTGAGTATGATGATTTAACCCTTGAGTATGATGATTTAACCTTGAGTATGATGATTTAACCCTTGAGTATGATGATTTAACCCTTGAGTATGATGATTTAACCCTTGAGTATGATGATTTAACCCTTGAGTGATTTAACCCCTGAGTATGATGATTTTAACCCTTGAGTATGATGATTTTGAGTATGATGATTTAACCCCTGAGTATGATGATTTATTGATTTAACCCTTGAGTATGATGATTTAACCCTTGAGTATGATGATTTAACCCTTGAGTATGATGATTTAACCCCTGAGTATGATGATTTAACCCTTGAGTATGATGATTTAACCCTTGAGTATGATGATTTAACCCTTGAGTCATGATGATTTAACCCCTTGAGTATGATGATTTAACCCCTTGGGTATGATGATTTAACCCCTTGAGTATGATGATTTTGCCCTTTGAGTATGATGATTTCGCCCCTTGAGTATGGTGATTTAACCCCTTGAGTATGATGATTTAATCCCTTGAGTATGATGATTTAACCCCTTGAGTATGATGATTTAACCCCTTGAGTATGATGACTTAACCCCTTGAGTATGATGATTTAACCCCTTGAGTATGATGATTTAACCCCTTGAGTATGATGACTTAACCCCTTGAGTATGATGACTTAACCCCTTGAGTACACTATGAAGGCTTGACTCTCTCTCTCTCTCTCTCTCTCTCTCTCTCTCTCTCTCTCAGAAGACCCCAAACTGCACCCTTGTTCAGTACGGTTTCATGGGAGGCGGCTTAAGAGACGTGTCATGGCGAACTGTCTCCCTCGTTCATCGCCTCTGTGTAAACGTGGCCGCGGACGATAGCATTTTTAGGACTCGGGATGTGTACGTTGTGTGTTCTCGCATCGTTGGTGGTCATCGCGTTCCTCGTGGTGAACTGCTGTGGCTGGTGTGTGTGTTTTCCTAGGTAGATGGTATGGGGTTCTTCTGCCAGGGTTGTTAGATGTCTATGGTCAATACCTCATTTGTAGGTCACCGTACCGTGTATTGCTGAAGTTTCGGGATTGCAAGGTCGCGGAAATTGACGCTTTCTCGGTGATTATTATTCTGTGCGACATTACGAGATTGCAAGGTAGCGGAAATTAAAAGCCTTCTCGGAGATTATCATTCTGTGTTGTGTGAGATTGTGACGTACTTCCAAAGCAGGTGCGACTACTGACCCCGGGCTAGAACGCTGCTTCCAAGATGGGCGCGGTTCCGTCGTCGACATATTACGCCGAACACGTAGCGACGAGACGGGGTAACAAGTTCACCCTCCTGTCCTGGGGGCTAAGACACCGAATCGCCCTCTACCGCTACAGGTGTATGTGCGGTCGTCGACACTGTGGTGCGTGAGACAGCCTACTCAACGCTCTAACCCTGTCATGGGCTAGACAAAACGCCGTGCCTGTAGCATTAAGCGGTGTAGGTCCGACGCCATATCCCTGTCCCGTTAATTGCCTGGTCTACATCCACGCTATTTGGGTTAATAATTACTGCCGTACGTCGAAGGCTAGAGCTCTGGGCTTCGAGTACAGTCCGCGTAAATACCGAGTAGAGTATTGTGTATCCCTGTATGCTCTCCTATTGGTCGTCTTGTATAGTTTATGCTCTCCTATTGGTCGCCTTGTATAGTTTATGCGCTGCTGTTGGTCACCTTGTGTATTGTTTATGCTCTCCTATTGGTCGCCTTGTATAGTTTATGCGCTGCTATTGGTCACCTTGTGTATTGTTTATGCTCTCCTATTGGTCGCCTTGTATTGTTTATCCTCTCCTATTGGTCGCCTTGTATATTGTTTTGTATTTTTCAACGTATTGCACTTGACGACATTGACTGTTTGGGATAGTTGTCATCGCGTTGTCGTTCAAGATGGCTCAGAATTGAAGGATTTTTGAGAAACCTAACTTAACCTAATTTAACATAACTTAACGCTAATTTAACCTAACCTAGTTTAACATAACTTAACTCTAATCTAACCTAACCTAATTTAGCTTAACAGCATTTTATTAGACAGCTGTGTTATGACAGGTTAGGTTAGTTTATGACAGGTTAGGTTATGGCATGTTAGGTTAGTTTATGACAGGTTACGTTAGCTTATGACAGGATAGGTTAGTTTACGACAGGTTAGGTTAGTTTATGACATTTTAGGTAAGTTTATGACAGGTTAGGTTAGTTTATGACAGGTTAGGTTAGCTTATGACAGGTTAGTTTAGGTTATGACAGTCCGTTACGTGTGTCCTGACAGTTGTTTTATCCGCCTATAGGCAGCGTGTGCGTCCAAAGGAGGGGATCTGGCGTGATGGGGGGTGTGCTGTCTACCTTTTTTCAGTCTGGCAGCGCACTCCTTGCTTCCGGTAACCATCGCACCGTCTCCGAGACCACCAAGAAAAACATCCGCATCGTATTCGACGCCTTGCGGGCCAATCCTAGGGTGACTGTTCAGCGGTTGGAGGGGCTGCTCTCGGCGATTCCTAAGGTATGGTCGTTGACGTCCCATCGCCGCCTTGGTCCTTGGGGTACTGTGTGGATGCATCCTTGATTTACGCTACATTTACGTTCCTGTAAATGGAGCGTAAATCGAAGGAACGTTGTGTCGACCAGACTTAATGGCCGTGTCTGAGTGCGTGTGTTCTGTGAGTGCGTGAAATAGGTCACTCACACACTCTATCTGTACGGGTAGATGTGTTCCCTCCCTAACCTAACCCATAAACTGTCCTACCCTAAACCTAACCTAACCCCAAAAACAAGTACCTACCCTAACCGGCCTCTTCTCTGCCCTGCCCCCCAGAACGAGAACCTACTCTTCGTCCATAATGAGGAAGGGTACAACCTAATGCAGAAGGTCGTTGGTATAAACAATGTTGAGATGGTCCGCTGGTGCCTGACGCGGAACTTGGACGTTAACCGCGGCGTGTGTTCCCTGCCGCTACACATCGCTTGTCTGAGGGGGTGAGTACGGGGGTGGGTGTGTGTTGAGTACGGTGAAATCTCTTTTTAACGGACTTTAGGGTTGGGAGTTTGTTATATCGAGGGTCCGTTAGATGTGAAACCTCCTTCTAATGAACTATATAGAGATGAAAGTCCATTATATCGAGGGTCCATGAGATACGAAACCCCTATATGCAGTACAGTAATTAAAAATATAAATAAATAAAGTAAGCATTTACACTAATTATAAATGTAAAAGAAATAAATTAAATAGTGATAATCGCAGCATTTTCATCGGTATTTCCTGACATCAAATTAAGTCAACTATTCCAAATGACACACACACACACACACACACACACACACACACACACACACACACTACAAACACACACACACACACACACACACACACACACACACACACACACACACACACACACACACTCCAAACAGACAAAAATCATACCTAACTATTCACGTTTAACCCCCTGCCTCTTCCTCCCCCCCTAGATACGAGGATTGCGTCGAGGTCCTGCTCAAACACGGAGCCCGGATCGAGATGGAGGCTAGAATGTGCTGGCCTGGCCCCCATAACCAGAATTGCGAACAGCGCGGGAAATACTGTGAGTGCATCGGAAGGGCCAGACTTGATGGGGTGGACAGGAATGGCGGGATATAGTCGTTTAGTCTACGTCGCAATCCTAACCTAACCTAACCATGATATAAATATGCTTTTGATGATTATACTTGTGAGAAATGTGTATAAGAATGTATGACAGATGTTGAAAGTGATAATTCTTTTAGATTAATTAACTCAGTGTCACATAATAGTTACTGAGGATTATTTGGCGCTTCTACAGGTGTGCCCGACGTCGCAATGGGGGATAGATCGAGCGACAAGCTGCAGAACGCTATTTATTATGCTATTGATGGCGACCAGGTAAATATTACATGTAAGAAAATCACCGTATGTGCGCGTGAACCGTGTGTATGCTGATAAACACGCCGGGAAAACGCTTACACGGAGTTCCCAAGCGCTTTCGTGTGTGGGGTCATCTGTGCTTAGCCCCTAAAGATGCAAATTAGACGAAAGAGCTGCTTGAGAAGTTTGTGTTTGTGTTTTTCCGATGTGGGTATTAGTTCATTGTTATGTGTGTGGATGTAGTGACGCTTAATTTTGATTTTAAGCGGATGTACTATTTAGGAACGTTATATTTTTTTTTTGGGTAATTGGATGGATATTTTACCATTATGTGGATATGTTAGACCATTGCTTATTTTTTCATGTGTGGGTATATTACATCCGTGTGGGTAGTGAAGTGGGTATATTGTGTGTGGATTAGAAAGATGTTTTATTTTATTTTATGTGGATATATTAAACCCCAGCGCTTATTATTAATCAATGTGGATAAATTCGATGCCACATCCTCGCTTAATCCGTGTGGGTAAGTCAAGTGGATATAATCTCTTGCAGGTGGATATTCTAGAGCTATTAACACAACAAGGGGAGGACCACTGGTTACCCTGGCAGCAGAAACGACCCTTGTTACACATAGCTTGCGAACGAGGCGCTTGGAACTGCGTCAAGTATTTGGTGCTTGAGAGGTGAGTCGTTAGGGGAGTTTATTAATTAATTTATTTATTAATTAACTTATTTATTGAGTAACTTATTTATTTATTTATTTATTGAGGTAAGGAGAGAGAGAGAGAGAGGCAATGTTGATGTATGCAGCTCAAACAGATCGACCAGTTTTACGAGGATACTACCCCATACCATAAGCCTTTGTTGACGTTTATTTTTTAAGGTAATCGTGAAGTAATGGACAGTGTACGAGCATACCCTATAGGTTAATTACGGTGTTTACCTCCTCGTAACGCGTCCGCAGGTCCGACGAGATCAACCAATGCTACGACGAGTACTACCCCATACACCAGGCTGCCCTCCACGACCTCAAATTCCTCGACCTCTTGATCCAGTGCGGGGCGGAGACTACGGTACGGACCTACACTCAGCAGATGACCGTTCTCCACGTGGTGTTTCTCCTGGGGAAGAAGACGGCGGAGGACACCCTGGAAACGGTCAAGTTGTTGCTCCAGCATGGCCTCAAGGAGCACATCAATACAGCTGACTCTCTGGGGAATACGCCTCTACATGCTCTGATTGTGAGGTGGGTCTCTCTCTCTCTCTCTCTCTCTCTCTCTCTCTCTCACTGTCTTTTCATTTCTGTCTTAATATCTCTCTCTCTCTCCTTTCATTCTCTCTCTCTCTTTTATCATCACAATTATTCCAAAAATATAAATTATTCCCATTTTACCAGACCTCCAAATTACACCTGACCCCTAATACGTTTACTCTGATAACGTGGTGTCACTTTACCTCGACATTATTCCAAACATCAACCAACACCGTAAAGTGACAATTATCGTACATCTTTGTGTGGTGTATGGCAATCGACCCTAAGACTACTTTCACCAACATCGATCTTATTACCCTATGGGAGTTGGATGATTGTGTCGTTTATTGTCACGATATTAAACAAATACTATCGTTTTAATCTGCCTCTTACAGATACGCCTTGGAGGTTAGGTTAGCTTAAGGTTAGATTAGGTTAGGTTAAGGTTAGGTTAGGTTACATTAAGTTAAGGTTAGGTTAGATTAAGTTAAGTTACCATATAACATCAACTACCCCGTTACAGATACGCCCTGGAAGAAGCTCGTTACGGGTATGATCACGATCCTCCTCCCTGGAACAAATGGGACATGCTCCTCATCGTGCGGTACCTACTACAGAACGGAGCATCGCCGAGCATAAACCAGCAGGGTAACTCGGCCCTCGCCTGCGTCCTGCGTCACGTGAGGGACTGGGAATTCCGTTACGAGCTCCTGGATATGTTGCTTCACTACGGCGGTAATCCGAACCTCGTCGGAAGGGACGGTTCGGTGTCCTTGATGGTGTGCCTCGTTCCTCTCATCAACAAGGACCCGTTACATCACTTTACCCACACGATGAAGGTGAGGCGTTGTGGTCAGTTGATTGGTCAGTTGAGTCAGTCAGTCAGTCGGTTAATAAGTCAGTCAGTCAGTCAATTAGTCCATCATTCTGTCTATCAATCTGTCAGTCAGTCAATTAATCTATCATTCTTTCAGTCAGTCAATTAATCTATCATTCAGTCAGTCAGTCAATTAATCTATCATTCAGTCAGTCAGTCAATTAATCTATCATTCTTTCAGTCAATCATCCACTCAGTCTACTATCAATTGCAGATTAAATACATTGTTTTAATATACATCTATATAAACAGTTATTAATTTATATACCCATGGGCCTAATTTATATTTGTTCAGATATATATATACACATTTATATCACAATTTCTATCGGTTTATATAGCCACTGTTGTTTCATGGATATTCTCAGGTCTTATATACATTCATACATATCTACAGGTACTATACATTCATACATATCTACAGGTACTATATACATTCATACATATCCTCAAATCTTATACTCGAACTACATCAGAATATTACGCAATTTATATCACAACTTCTATACATATTCTCAGGTCTTATATACATGCATACATATTCTCAGGTCTTATATACATGCATACATATTCTCAGGTCTTATATACATGCATACATATTCTCAGGTCTTATATACATGCATACATATCCACATTTCAGGTCTTCTACTTGAACTGCGTCAGAATATTATGTAAGCACGGCGCCAATCCCAACTGTTCGTCGAGATCCAATTTGACGCCCTTACACGTTCTCATGTTCACCGCCAGCGAGAATATTTCCCTGTCGCGTGAGGAAGAAAAAACCGGCGCCTTTACCTTCATACGTCAGCTGCTCGTAATTCTGCTCCAACACGGCCTTGATCCTAACGTCAGGTATGGGGGGCGTTTGGTTGTGTTATTTAACCGCGTTTTGGTGTGTGGGTTTTTTTTTTTGCTAGTCTGGGGTTAGGTTAGGTTTGGTTTGGTAAATTTAAATGTTTTCTGTTGCTTTCTTTTGCTCTCTCTCTCCCTCACTCTCTCACTCTCTCACTCTCTCACTCACTCACTCACTCTCTCCCTCACTCTCTCTCTCACTCTCTCTCTCTCCCTCACTCTCTCACTCTCTCTCACTCTCTCTCTCTCTCTCTCACAGGTTCAGCCAGCGAACACAACACATCCTGCTCTCCCTAATGGACATGGTACAAAATGCTCGCACCTCCACCGACCTGGACCACGTGTACGACCTGACCACCACTCTCCTCCAGTACGGCGCCAACCCTAACATCAACATATCCACCACCGAGCCCATGATTTGTCACTCGCAGTCTTCAGTCTTCCTCAAGAAGTCGTCCAATCAGGTACTAGGATGTTGTTCGGTGAGGTACTGGTATATCGTCCAATTAGGTCCTGGCATATCGTCCAATTAGATCCTGGTATATTGTTCTATTAGGGACACTCATATCGTCCAATCAGGTACAGTATAGCCTTGAATAACGACGGTAATGTGGCCTCCAATGTTGCAGTGTGAGGTGAATCATCGTATCGCGAATCATTAATTACCGTTAACATAAACCAATAATAATGAGATGTGTTCCACAGTGTGACCTTTTCATATCTTTTGTGTGGCTTTTTACTCTCCTCTCACCCCCAAAACAATATAATTAATGAGAAAAAAACTATATTCTTTAAATAATGTTTCTGAATGACTTTTATACAATATAAATGAATAATAATATGGTCACACGAGGAGATGGGACGCCATTGTTGTTGTCAGTGTTAGCCATAGTGTCAGTTATCATCTGAAACTGAAGATAATAAGACCCTGGTTGTTGCTGTAGTCAAATTAATATAAAAATATGTATGTTTTAATTAATGTTATTTAATGTACAGTAGAAGTAACCACTGATATTAAAGACATGTACATTTATGATTTCCTACCTTGAATTATTATATTTTAGTCTCTTAAGCATTTAGTCTAAATCACCAACACATGACCCTAAGCTATTTGATCGCGTGGATGACAATACAGCCATCGATCTCAATTGATGTACGGTGATAATAACAATAACACCGTCTCCCCTTCACACCATCGCCTACGACCATTAACGCAACTGATATTTAACAAACAGACATCAACACCGGCGTCATTATTCCAGGTCTTATACTACTACGTTCAGTTGTTGATCAGGAAGGAGGAACTTTTGATCGACCCTGATCAGCGTTTCGCCCGTCTCCTCCACCTCTACTACCTAGCGATGGACCACAAGGAACTACACCAGTGCCTCAAGATACTCTACACCCAGACGTCGCTCGTGCCCATGAAGCGGCCGTTAACCCAGGTCTTAAGGTCAGTCGATTGGCGGCAGTGTTTTGTTTACCCTTTGAGCCGTGGTGGGTTAAATTACAGTCTTCAAAGGGTTAAGTTGCCCTCAAAGGGTTAAATTACAGTCTTCAAAGGGTTAAATTGTCCTCAAAGGGTTAAATTACAGTCTTCAAAGGGTTAAATTGTCCTCAAAGGGTTAAATTACAGTCTTCAAAGGGTTAAATTGTCCTCAAAGGGTTAAATTGTCCTCAAAGGGTTAAATTGTCCTCAAAGGGTTAAATCATCATCTTCAAAGGGTTAAATTAATACACTAGAATAACATAAAATAAAATAACAAAATAAAATACAAATAGAGCTCCTCCCACACTCAAGCCATCACCTAAACGACGCCATAGTTTAAACAGGCAGTCAATCAGCTTCAGTGAGACGTGTGCGTGCGTTTCCTCTCCGTGCTTGTATGTCATCTTCCATGTTTTGTTGTAGGGGTGCTTCGATAAGTCTGTATTTTGGATAACTCAGTAAGACCAAAGCCCGATGTGTGCTGAGTATCGAGTGTTTATTATTATTATTAGTAGTAGTAGTAGCATAGTAGTAGCATAGTAGTAGTAGTAGCATAGTAGTAGTAGTAGCATAGTAGCATAGTAGTAGCATAGTAGCATAGTAGTAGTAGTAGCATAGTAGTAGTAGTAGTAGTCTAAACTATTTATTTTTATTTTAATATTTTTTTACAGTTCCAATAATGAACTAGACTTATATCAATCATAAGTGATTTCTGTATATCTTTTTAAGTAACTTTTGAGCAATTTGTTACTTTACACACTTATCTTACCCCCATTCCTCACTTTAATCTCATTTAAATTACCACTTAATAGCCTCTTCATGTAACTTGCATCATTCTGCACTTAAATGTTACTTAAATGTTACTTTTTGGTCATTTAGTTGTTACTTTATAGCCACTTCACAGTCTCTTAAAAGTAGTTTGTATTGATTCATGTTACTTAATTCTTACTTTTTAACGCTACTTTTTCCTTAGTCTCTGGAGGTTAAAATTTCCATTAAATATTTGGTTTGCTTGGGTTAGGTTGGGTTTGGTTTAGCTTGACCTGCTTTGGTTTAGCTTGGCTTGGCTTAGCTTGGCTGGTTTTAGCTTGGATCGATTCGGTTAAATTGTGTAGAGAGAGTAACAAAAGTCAAGAATCAAACGTTTATTGTTGTTAAATATTCAAACTGAAGTCCGTGGAAGCGTGGAGTAATTATAAACAAACTATTTTATACGTTCAGCGACGACACGCAAAGTATCCGGACCGACTTCGTTGCATTCCACGTAAATACGCTTTTTTGGGGCACCTCAATTGTTCGGAGACGGTCGGTGTACACAACCTACTTTCAAACGACCCCATAGGAAAGCCCTGGTGATCTTGGATGAACTGTGTATAGGATTCCAGACTTTTGTTACTTTATATTTGAAGGTCTGGTTATTGGTGGTGTTTTTATTGGCACTTAAGTCAATACATTGGTTAATTGGTTGTCAATATTGTTAAGAACGGACAGAAACACCCATACACGCACACACACACAGCCAGTTATGTGTCCCAAACTTATCGTAAAAAGTATATAAATTACACGATTTCAAGCGCCAATTTATGAAGCGTTGAGACAGGTCCTGTGCCCTACCCTAACTGCTGTATTGTACGCGTATTGAACCAAGAATCTTAACTACTGTGCATCTTGAACGAGGCTTTTAACTATATCTTCAACCTTGGGGACCTTAACTACACCCTAAACTGTTTTAGGTCGTTGATATGTATTTTTTTTTTTCTTGCAGGGAGCTGTACACAAAACCTCGGACCTTAAAGCAGATTTGCCGAGTGATTATATACGACTCCCTTGGCCGACGATCTGCCCAGAACGTAAACAAACTTCCACTGCCGGGGATGTTAAAGGATTACATTCTCAACTTCGATCCTTAGAGCTCCGGGGATAAATATGCTTTTACGGGTTTCCTCCTCCTGGGGTCAGGATGGGTCGTGGTGTGAAAAAATGGCGTCGGGAAAAAGCATCAATGTTTACTGGGAGGGGGGGTGGGTATTTTAATTAGGTGTGTTTGTTTTCCACCAGATGGCACTGTGAATCATTTGGAAATCTCTCTCTCTCTCTCTCTCTCTCTCTCTCTCTCTCTCTCTCTCTCCAGTAGTTATTAAGTCTTTGTATTTAGTCGGGGAAAATAAATTCATATATTGTTGCTTTATTTCGACGCCATTTTTTGGTGCATAAGCGGAGGAAGGGGATAAACCCGGACACAGGCGTCGATAAAGTTACGGGACGGCGGACTGGAACGGGAGCCTTTTGTGAACAGTGGGATGCCTGGAACGTGAAAATCCGCACGGCCACGACCCTGAGGAATTGTGAACTGCAGCACAGGACGGAACATTTCACGCCTTATGGACGTCATTCGAGGGGGAGGAGAGAGTGGGGTTATACGTCGTACTAATCTCCGTGAACGTCTAGGCCATAAAACCGTCGCCGCTGATTTGCTACATAATGGAGGACTGAATAAACCTTATATTACGACTCTACTTTTCGATGAAGGTTCGAGAGGATGTCTAGGGGGGTGATATATACCTCGGGCTTGAAGGTTTGATTAGGGTTTGTTGTTGTTGTTGTTGTTGTTTTTTTCGTAGATGTTACTCGTGGTATTGGCCGAGACTACGATCGAGACTTTGTTATTTATAGCCTTCGTAGATCACATGAAGATTGGCCCTCACGTACTCACCTCATGTCACCCCCAGTTTAACCACCCTGAAACTGTCTGGGGAGGGTAGGGGGTTAATGTTCAGGTGGTCAATGAAGGCTAAAATTACATAGGGTTTTGTTCATGATCTTGACTACACCATTAGTTGGGGATTTAAACTCATATAATAGATAAAATTTCATGGTGAAATATGAGATATAATTTTTTTTTTAGTCTGTTTTTCACTTTTGCGAATCAGGAACCATTTTGTGGTGTAGAGTCGCGTGGCCGGAACGACGAAAGCTCTTCCCTCATTGGCTGTCGTCCTTATTGGCCCTCATTGTCATTGGTGCGATGGGGGACTTGGAAATTGGCTTTATTGGTTGCCTGCTGTATGGTGACAACGACGAGCTTGGCGGTATTTGGTTAGGTTAGGCTGTTTCTTAAGTAATGTTGTGTATATATATTGTATATATATATCGAACACTAAAGGCATAGCTGCTTGAGGTAGTGTTTTGGCGGCTCGTGGGTAGCCGAGGGTTCCCGCAAGCCCCGATGACTTGAGGTGATTGGAATGTGAATTGGGGCGTAAGTTATGAATACAAGTGGCTATATTGATGACTTGTGAAGAGAAAAAACCATTTATGACGGTGAAAGTGGAGAAAAGTGCGTTGTGTGTGTGTGTGACGCAGCGTTGACGTCTCTCCAGGTTAGAAAATTATATTGGCGAGGCACAATGATGAAACGGTGGAAAACGAGCGGCTGCGGCGATTAAATCTTCCATGTTGTGCTTTGCGTTCTCTTTGACACGGAGGACATGTGTACCCAGAGAGGATATTTAACCGGTTTTGTTTCATGGGGGGGGGGGGTAGGTTGAGAAAATGCCGTCGATGTCTGTTCCTCACTGTGCGTCGATCGCGTCTCTGTGTTGTGGGAGAGAAAACAATCGATCGACTGGACGTAGACTCATCGACGTCAACACCTGCGATCGGGAGAAGACACAGACGACACGTTACTCTAGGGTGCGGTGCGGAAATCCCCCCCCCCACCCCCCACCCTCCGGCACCTCTAAAAATCACATCGACGGGAAAAAAAAAATAAAAAAAATAAATATCAATTAAACCCCAGTCGACCAAAATTTAACCAAAGATGGAAACGATTTTAACGATTTTGAAACGTAAACAACATCGTATATGTCTCCCTGGGGGTGGTGGGGAGGGTGTGTGTAAAGTGTACGCTAATGGCTGTTTTGTCGTTTTATTCGAGAAGAAGAATCTGCTGTTAGGTGTTTTCGGACGACCAGATATATTTAAAGTTTAATATAAATAAAAGTCAGATGTTTCTGTCGCATGTTTGGCCGGGATACTGATATATACTGTATGTAAATTATTGCCCCTGTTGTTAATAAACCTTTAAGTTTTAACGATGGTTTGTTTCTGCTGCTCTGGACACATACCCGGAATATAACTGCCAACATACCCACCACAGTCACATCATCATACCTGCTAAAATACCTGCAACATACCCGCCACATACCAGCCAAATACCCACAACATACTCGCTACATAGTTACATTAATATACCTGCCCACATAGCAACACTATATACACACACACACACATACACAGTCATACAAATAAACAGTCACACACATACAGTCATGCAAATACACATTCACACCAATACATACAGTCACATACACACATATATCCACACACACAAATATACAGTCACATACACAGTCACATAAACACACATATACATACACACACATACACATACACACTAAACAATTACTTTCTTTACGTATGAACAAGTACAATGCGTCTCTGTCTCATTGCAAGAAAAATGAGAAATAATTCTTGTTTTGTTGCAGGAAAATGGAAAAATATTTCTCATGTCATTGTCAGAAAAACAATATTTCACATTGTTATTGTAAGGAAAACCAAAATATTTCTCATGTCATTGTCAGAAAATCAAAATATTTCTCATGTCATTGTCAGGAAAACTAAATATTTCTCATGTCATTGTAAGGAAAACCAAAATATTTCTCATGTCATTGTAAGGAAAACCAAAATATTTCTCATGTCATTGTAAGGAAAACTAAATATTTCTCATGTCATTGTAAGGAAAACCAAAATATTTCTTATGTCATTGTAAGGAAAACCAAAATATTTCTCATGTCATTGTAAGGAAAACTAAATATTTCTCATGTCATTGTCAGAAAAACCAAAATATTTCCCATCTGTAAGAAAAACCAAAATATTTCTCATGTCATTGTAAGGAAAACCAAAATATTTCCCATCTGTAAGAAAAACCAAAATATCTCTCACTTTAACCCCAAGACAAGGTAGAACTTGTCACATCAGAGAGGAATTTAAAACTTGACTACAGGTATTCTGAGAACTTTATCTGATCCAACCACGGGGCGGATATTTGTGGATGGATTGTGGGAAGTGTGTGGGTATTTTCTCTCTCTCTCTCTCTCTCTCTCTCTCTCTCTCTCTCTCTCTCTCTCTTAGGCATTAAAAAACTCCATTAATTTTAATTATTTTATTATAACTTAACATCTGTACACAATAGCTATATGTCAACACACACCTGCCCCCCACACACCTGTCTTCCCCCCACACACCTGTCTTCCACCCACATACCTGTCTTCCACCCACATACCTGTCTTCCCCCCCACACACCTGTCACTCCAACACATCAATAACAGGTATGTGTGATCCCTTTACACAGATGTACACATGACTTTGGTACATATAGCAGGTGTTTTGCACGTGTGGATGAAATGTCAGGTGTTTAATCCTGTTGAGCTGCTAGATAAGGCACTTGTAGTTGAGACAGGTGTGGTTAGGTTAGGCTATATGGAGTAGCTCTGACGGGTAGTAATCGTAGTCTGGTAAATCGTCGTTGAAATATCTGAAATTATTGACAGAGTTAGTTAGTCTCTCTCTCTCTCTCTCTCTCTCTCTCTCTCTCTCTCTCTCAATCTTTCTTTATTTTCACATTAGTATATAAAAAAAATCTCTCTCTCTCTCTCTCTCTCTCTCTCTCTCACCTATCCACAGGGGGTTGTGTGTGGGCGTGGGTTAAGGCCGTGGGCGTGGGTTCATAGTGGGCGTAAGAATCACAGTGGTCTGAAGTCGTGCTTGAGTCTGTAGTCCTCTGAAAACTGAATGGCCAAGTCTGAAATGGAAATATAAATTAGTTCAGTCTTGTAAATATAAAAATAAATCAGTTGATCTTTAGTTAACATTAAAATAAATTACTTTATTCGATGTAAATATTAAGTAAAAAGCGATACATTAGTTTACTCTTGATGTAAATATATAGTAAAAAGCGGTACATTAGTTTACTCTTGATGTAAATATATAGTAAAAAGCGGTACATTAGTTTACTCTTGATGTAAATATATAGTAAAAAGCGGTACATTAGTTTACTCTTGATGTAAATATATAGTAAAAAGCGGTACATTAGTTTACTCTTGATGTAAATATATAGTAAAAAGCGGTACATTAGTTTACTCCTGATGTAAATATATAGTAAAAAGCGGTACATTAGTTTACTCTTGATGTAAATATATAGTAAAAAGCGGTACATTAGTTTACTCTTGATGTAAATATATAGTAGAAAGCGATACATTAGTTTACTCTTGATGTAAATATATAGTAAAAAGCGATACATTAGTTTACTCTTGATGTAAATATATAGTAAAAAGCGATACATTAGTTTACTCTTGATGTAAATATATAGTAAAAAGCGATACATTAGTTTACTCTTGATGTAAATATATAGTAAAAAGCGATACATTAGTTTACTCTTGATGTAAATATATAGTAAAAAGCGATACATTAGTTTACTCTTGATGTAAATATATAGTAAAAAGCGGTACATTAGTTTACTCTTGATGTAAATATATAGTAAAAAGCGATACATTAGTTTACTCTTGATGTAAATATATAGTAAAAAGCGATACATTAGTTTACTCTGATGTAAATATATAGTAAAAAGCGATACATTAGTTTACTCTTGATGTAAATATATAGTAAAAAGCGATACATTAGTTTACTCTTGTTGTAAATATATAGTAAAAAGCGGTACATTAGTTTACTCTTGATGTAAATATAGTAAAAGCGGTACGATGGTTTACTCTTAATTGTAAATATATAGTAAAAAGCGGTACATTAGTTTACTCTTGATGTAAATATATAGTAAAAAGCGATACATTAGTTTACTC